TTTTTTTGAAAACTACGTGAAATATCTAATAGAATATTACACTGACATATTCTAAAAAATAATTTTAAAATGCAAAATAAATGGAAAAAATCTAAAAATTTCTTTTTTAAATATTATTTTCGGAACTTGAATTAACGAAAAAAAAAGATAAAAAAAAACCCATTTTTTTGAAAAATACGCGAAATATTCTAAAGATGACTACACACTATTCTAAAAAATAATTTTAAAATGCAAAATAATGGAAAAATCAAAAAAAAATTTAAATATTATTTTCGGAACTTGAATTAACTAAAAAAAAATAAAAATAAATAAAAAAATGCGTCTCACGGTCTCACAAAATTAGGCCGTCTCACATTAACCTAACCGCTATATTATATCTATAGATATAGATATCTATTATCTATATATATATATATTATCTATATATATCTATATCTATCTTATATATATATATAGAGGTCTCATGAGTCTATCTCCTCCTACTTATAAACGTAATTAGATAAGCAACTTCGATAAGCCAGGTTGCTCGTTACTGTTGGTGTTCCATCATCATTCTCTTATTTAATTATACACTTGTAACATACATCATTAACTATTAATTTTAAAAGTATATGTTGTATTATAAATTTAATTAATAAAATAATAAATTCAAACTGTATCATTTACCATTGTGGTTAAATTAAAAGTTATAGCATAGATGAGTATTGGTCAAAGATGCAACAAATTACAAGGGTGCACGAGGATGAGCGGTGCTTTACTTATAGTATTAAAATGAGATAAAGACAACTCAATAAGATAAATTTTTAATGAGAAGATATCTAAACATGTTAACTGAACATGATATATATAATCAATATTTTTTTACCTTACTCTATAATTTAATGTGGATAATTTTAGTTTAGAAACAAAGATATATATCTATATATATATATAATATATATATATATATATATATATATATATATATATATATATAATCAATATTTTTACCTACTCTATAATTTAATGTGGATAATTGTTTTTATAAACAAATATATCTATAATATATATCTATATATATATATTATATATATATATATATATATTATATATAAAATAAAAAAAAAATAAGAGGAAACGATAAAGAAAGTAAAAGTAGAGAACAAACAGAATGGTCAGCGTTTGAGCCGCACGAGGGGGGATCTCTCTCTCTAACTCTCTGAATTTTGAAAGTGCACCTGCACCTTTTATTTTTTTAACAAACTTTTGTTTTCTTCAAAAAAATTTAAAATACATAACAAAAAGTTTAGGAGTTTTAAATTCCACCGTTTTAAAAAGTATAATATTTTTAAGGTATGTTTACAAATAAGTTTTAGGCTTTAGAAGAATATATATATTTTCATAATTAATTGAGGATATATGTTTGGGAAATTTTAAAAAAGGTTTTGAAAAATTAGTTTAACATTATGTTTGATGTACTAGTTGAAAAGCTAGCTGTTAGATAAAAAAAATTAGTTGATAACTGAAAAAGCTAATCCGCTAACTTCTAAGTTTGTTGGCAAAAAATGACGTTTGGTGAAAAGTAGTTGATAAGCTAGATGAAAAATATAAAAAAAATATAAGGGACGTGTTCGGCACGGAGCGTTTGGGAGCATTTGAGAGCTTCTACTAACTAGCGTTTAACAAAACGATCCGTTTTGAACAAAAACTCTCATTCGACACTACAAGATTCTAGCGTTTAGTTTAAACAAAACGCTCCGAATCCAAATGCTACTTCATGTAGCGTTTAACAAAACGCTACAAACTACAAGCTACCCAGTACCCGCTACCAGCTAATTTTGCCGAACACGCCCAAAAGACTTTATGTATCCTAAAATGTTAATCCAAATAGTTTTTCAAAAAACTAGCTTCTAAGCTATTTTTTGGCTTGTTACAAATGACAATTTAAAAAACTTAAAAAATAAGTTATTTTATCAGCTAGTTGTGATTGCCAAACACAATGTAAGTAGCTTCTTAAAAGCTAGCTTATAAACTAATTTTTAATATGTATTTTATAATTAGTTAAGGGCATATTTAGAAAGAAAATTAAAAACTTCTAAAACTAATTTAAGTAGCTTTTAAAAAAGATAGCTTATAAGCTACTTTTTGACTTGCTAAACATGATAACATAAAAAGTTTAAAAAATTAAGTTAGGTTATCAGCTAGTTGTAGCCTAAAACATAGCCTAAATAGTTTTTTAAAAAACTAACTTATAAACTACTTTTGGTTTGCCAAACAGACAGCTTAAAAAAGCTCGTTAAAATGGTTAGCTCTGACGTTCCAAAAGTTACTTTACTAATATGTGTAAAAAAAGTTTTTGCCAATTAAGAGGTTTAACGTGTACACTTGATAACAAAATTCGGATGCTTTTAACTTTTGATAAATATAGTTTAGAAAAATTAATTTATCATAATTATATTTCAATTTTAGTTTATATCCAAATGTCATTTTATGTAATTTTACATGTTTCAAAAACTTCCAACTAATGGTGTTGAATACTCTTATACAAATAAAAACTATAGTTTCGAATTTTAGCTATATTTTCCAAATACGCTCTTATAAGAAAAGTAACTTTGTATTTTATACATCTTTATTCATTTATGTATTTTTTACACATATGACCATTCAATGTTGATATGTGTAGAAAAAAACAAAAAAATAATGGCATATATATACCAAAAAACATAAAGATTATATATATATATAATATATATATATATATATATATATATATATAATCTTTATGTTTTTTGGTATATATATGCCATTATTTTTTTGTTATATATTTAATCACTTTGTTTTTTTCTACACATATGAACATCGAATGGTATATGTGTAAAAAAAACATAAATGAATAAAGATGTATAAAATACAAAGTTACTGTTCTTATAAGGTTTGTTCGGAAAATGTAGCTGAAAATTGGAAACTATAGTTTTTATTTGTATAAGAATATTCGACACCATTAGTTGGAAGTTTTTGAAACATGTAAAATTACATAAAGTGACATTTGGATATAAACTAAAATATTATATATATATATATATATATATATATATATATATATATATATATATATATATATATATATATATAGGGGTGAGATCGGTTGAGAACTCATAGTTTCCCGAGAACCTGAGAACTAAAGGTGGAGCGTTAGATCAAAATTAACTCAATAAGGGCATGATCGTGATCTTACCGATCTAATGTAATGTTTATTTTTTGTGTTATTGAACAAATTAACATAATAAATCAAATTTCAGATATTTTTTTTTAAATAATTTTTGATTTTTTTTAATCGGAGATTTTTTAATTTTTTTCAGAAAACATTAATTTAAAAAAAAATTGAAAAAAAATATTTTTTTAAAAAAACCGTAATTCTTTTAAAAAACTGTTTTTTGAATAAAAACTGCATTTTTTTTTTCAAAAAAACTGCAAATTTTTTTATAAAACAACTAAATTTTTTTTTTTGAAAAAAAAACTGCATTTTTTTCAAAAAAAAAACTACAATTTTTGTAAAATAACTGCAATTTAAAAAAAAAAACTGCATTGTTTTTCAAAAAAAATACTACATTTTTTGTAAAAAAAAACTGCAATTTAAAAAAAAAAACTCCAATTTTATTAATCATCGCTACATATGCATATTTCTTATACTATAGTATTCGTAAGTAAATCATAAAAAAATCTTATTTTTATTAATCAATCTATAAACATAATAGTACAAGTATTTTATTCGATACAAAATAAAATATAAAAAATAAAAAAAGCTATAAAGATTCACAGTGTTATCATTTCTTCATATCAAAATTTCCATATTTTCTTCAACTTATCACCTTTTCATCTTCAAAATTTTCCACAAATTCTTTCAAATCTACAAGAAAATAAAAAAAGAATGATTAATGAAAGAACACTCACAAAAATGCATATGTATATACCATGTAAGATTCACATGTGATGATATAATGTGATATTCACATGTGATTGTATCTTTTAACATTCAAATGTGAAATTCACAAGAAAATAAAAACGAAGAACACTCACACAAAATACATGTGTGTATATAGACATAATTCATACGTGATTCACTCATGACTTACATATGAATTACATGTGATTCATATGTGAATCACATGTGAGTTATATGTGAATCACATGTAATATTTCATATGTGTTTCATATGTGAATTACATGTGATTTATATGTGAATCACATGTGATTTATATGTGAATCACTTATGAATTACATGTGATTCATATGTAAATTACATGTGAATCACATATGAATTTACTTGTGATTTACATGTGAATCACATGTAATTCATATGTGAATCACTTGTGATTTAATTGTGAATTACATGTGATTCATATGTAAATTACATATGAATCACATGTAACTCATATGTGATTCACTTGTGATTTACATGTGAATTACATGTGATTTACATGTGAATCACATGTAATTCATATGTGAATCACTTGTGAATTTTTGCCATATTATGTGAACTTTCCCCAATATAAAAGCTACCTAATCAATCTTAAATTTTGCAGATTCACATCGTTTTGGTTCATGGGTATTTTGAAATCCATCATCCCCATCAATCGTCCGAAAAAAACCAAAACAAAAAATTATTATTTAAGAGAAAAAAACTAAGATGAACATTAATATTAAAGAAGAAGGAAATTTTAACAAGCCAATTAACAGTGATAAATGCAATAGGAGTTTCATCTCCTAATTATTTGTATATACAATACATATCAACCCTAAAAACTACGGCTGAAACTATGAAATTGATTAGATGGAAAAGAAGTGAATACATACTCAGACATCTATTAGATTTGTTGATCCGTGGAATGGTCAATGGATGAGACATATCATCTTTCTGTAGCTAATTGATGATCCACAATCAACAAAGCCTTGTTGTCCAATATGTTTCTATAGTAGTTGTTGTCGAGTTTCATAGGGGTACCACAATCATTTCTCACATACTAAACTGCCTTGGGGTCGGGGATTCCATCCGGACACTTATGGAGCATGTGCTCAACATGACCTGGGTCAAGAACCGGGTCAACCTCTGGATACAAACGGTGCACGAACTTCACACAGTGTGTCCTACCCACGTTATGAGAACCTGTTTCAAGAAAACCACCATTAATTAGTTTATGAACTACATTAACAGTATCATGATGCATGATACACGATGGATGATGATCATGATCGATGATATGTATACCTAGTAAAGCAACAACACCAGGGGTGTCGATGGCGATGTTCTTGAACCTTTCAAGAACAATAATCATAGATTCATTATGGAAGAACATAATGGGATTAAATCATATGCAGCTTCCCAAATGGTACAGATTCTCCATTCCACTTCAGGTCCATGTGCACAGAGCATTGAAGCAATCCCTTGCGCTGTTGCTCCTATTGTTGCTTCAATTGTTGGCATTTCTCTCTACTTTTTAGGGTTTGAATTGTAGCAATTGAGATGTTCATCTTGAAGCTCAACTCCTTCAGTTTGTGTAAGAGGAGGAAAAAGCAAAGCAGGTTGAGAAAGTATCTGAAAAAGTAAAGCATCTACAGCAATCCCAACTCTCATGGACATTGCGTTCCAATTGCTCGTAAGAAATGCAAATGCATCCAGTTTCATGGAAGCTTCAAAACATTACAAAAAAAAATTATAAATTATATTTATGTAACTTTGGTTAAATATGTGTAGAATTTTGAACTTACCCTCATGCCAGATGCATAATCTTCAGCAGCTCTAAGGAGCTCAACAAGCTGAACAACAGCATCAAAAGCATCTGGGGCCCATGATGGAGGTGCTTCTAGAAGTCCAAGAAGAAGCCTTTGGGTAGCACTTGGACTACCAATTGCATAATACCTATGGAACAACCTTGAATATGGTTCTAAAGCTATAAGACCTGCAACAAAGTGTTCATCCATGGAAGTTGTTGGAGGTGGGAGTAAAAGAGCAGGAACAACAGCTACAGTTATAAACACTCAATATCACACCAGCACCATTAGCAACTGCCCACCTTGGAGTTGATGGAATCAACCGTGGATGCTTTCCAGATCCCCTAGAAGAAGCCATCATTGAATACATACAAAAAAAAAGTTCAACATAACTCTTATTTTCTTTCTTCAAGTTTATTAACTGAAAAAACCGATTCAAATTATTCAAACAAAAGATAACATGTCTACTTACCCACAAAAGGTGGTTTGAGTTCCCCTCCTGCATATTTCCCCATGACACCACCACACCTAAAAAAGTAAACGAAAGTTTTTTGATGAGTATATATGAACAACATAAGGGCAACAACACCAGGGGTGTCGATGCCGTTGCTCCAAAAGAAGAAGAAAAAGAAGAAGGACTTCCATTTTTATCATCTTTTTCAAAATCAATAAGTCCATCCAAAACAGTTCCAGAATCACTAGATGCCCTACATGAGACTTAAATTTTAAACCTGGTTCACAATCAACTAACAGATCATCTAGCCAGCCTAGCAGTTCTCCCAAAACCAAGCTTTCTGATACAGTTTCCTGCAGCCGTGGCTGATTGCTAGGATCACAATTTGGGAAATGTGTCTTTGAGATTGGCCACCGAGGTGGAATTTGAAGTTGCCTTGACATTGTTAACTAGATTTTTTACCCTTATAGATGAAAACAAACTGAAAAAGGAAACAAAAATAGTTTGATTACATTACACATTTTGAATTGTTGACATCTTTAGTCGTTCATTAGATTTAGAAATTAGAATAACAATATTGTCAAGAAATAACTTCTGGAACACTTTAATACATGGCAATATATTCTACAATAGACTCATGAACACATACCTTAATGAGATCAAAAACTCAAAACAAATTGAAACTAGAAATCAATAAACAAATACCTTAGCTAAGAAAAATACAAGAAAGTAACTAAAATCTGATTTGAAACAGAAAAGTTGAAGACATATACAAATTTAAGATAAACTCTTACAGACATTCAATGTGGAGGAAGGAGAAGAAGTGGTCATCAAACCGGATCGATGTAGGAGAGATACAGAGATCTACGTGATGAATGCATGACGACCGAAGGAAGAAGATAGACATCCAATAAAGGAGCGTGGATTGATCGAATTAGGTAATCCTCCACATCAGATCAGATGTAATTGATTTAGGTAATACTCCAAGATCGTGACACAATCTCATAAAAATCACACAGGTGCAAAACTCACCGATTTCAACAGCTTCTTCATCATCTCTCTATTGCATTACAACACTTTCCGATCTATCATCGATTTCAACAGATTCTTCATCACCTCTCAATTGCATAACAATACTTTCGATCAATCTCTCGATCCAAATCATATTTTCGATCTGTTGTTTCTTTGATTCATCGTCGACGAGATGGAGATTAGAGAGTGTGGATGGTGGGATGAAAGGAAGAGAGAGACGGGATGAAGAGAGATAGAGGGTAGGGTGACGTGATTCAATCTGATAAGGGGGTATGGATTATGTAATCTTAAAATTGCCCCTGTTTGATTTCAAAAAGGTGCCCCGTGTATTTTTTCAACTAGGTATTTACAAAAATGCCACAAAGCATCATAACCTTCAATTAATTTGATCTAACAGTCCTCGTTTAGTTCCCGGGTTCTCAGGAAACTTTGAGTTCTCAAATGATCATTCCTCTCTTTCTCTCTCTCTCTCTCTATATATATATATATATATATATATATATATATATATATATATATATATATAAATCAAAAAAAAAATTTCAAATTTATTTCAAATAACGATGGATAGATTTTAGTTTTAGCATTAATATTTTATATAATTTTATAATTTATTTAAATTTACAACTAATTTTATCAATAAATATTACAATCTTTTGTCTCCAACTATATCTAAAAACTACTTTTGCTAAAAAAAATCCAAGAAACATAATTATTGGTTTGTTAAGTTTAAACCAAAAACTTGTTTATTTGTCGATCACTTGTCATTCCTTATTATCAGTAATTTTGATTATCTTTTTATAGTTTATTCTATTTGTTTATAACTTATATTTTCAAAAGTTCACTTAAAATAAAGAGATAATCATATAAAATAGCTATTTTAAAAAGCATATATATATATATATATATATATATATATATATATATATATATATATATATATATATATATATATATATATTTGAGTTTTTGTCATAAAGACCCAATTAACTTCTACATTAGGTTTTAAAAGACTAATTATGTTCTTTTTTTTTTGCCTTTATGGACCCCAAAACTCGAAAATTAACTGTCTTTTAGACCAGTTACATTAAATTTACCCACAATTGCCAGTTATCGGTTACGTTAAAATTTACCCACAATTGCCGGTTGTCGATTAATTTACTGCATAGGTGGACAATGTTGTCCACATAGATACACAGTTGGCAGGTGACGGATCAGCTTCATTAATAAGTTATTAAGAGTGCCTTAAATGAAGACAATATATTCAAGATCATTTCCACTTTATAACATATATTTTTCCGGTCATGAAACCTTAAGAATCGATTATCTTCTCCTTCGATGGTATACTCATCTGTATCATCCTCTTAGAACCAAACTGTTCTCGCTACTAGGAATCGTGACAAGAACCTGTGCGCTTGTCGTCATCCAAAGTTAAGCGTATAAAGGATGTCAATGTCACATAAGAATCCAGCTCTTAGATTTCGCAACTGTGTTGATTCTTTGGTAAGCATCATCTTCTTTAAATGTGTTGTCGACATTGTGGAATTAGGGTTTATCAAACAATGGAGATAATGTTGAGTTTAGGGTTTACTGTTCTCGATTAAGTCGATAGTGGAACGAGCTTGTGGTGTGTGTGACTGAATATTTCGTTGGTATGTTTGTTTCTAGGTGGAGATGGCAGCTAAGAAGTGTAAATACTTCAGGTGGATCGATGATGAGCTGACACCACACTACAAGAATGGCTTTAACAATCTTAAGTATGAGTTGCAACTAATGAAAGACACCAGTTACACTGCAAGACTAGAGAGAAGGGTAGCTTTGCTGGAGAACCTGAATGTTGAAGCCACTGCTGCTAAAGAAATTGTTGATGGTGAGTTAGCCATGGCTGTTGAAGAAAATAAACAATTGAGGGGCTAGTTGAAGTTCGTGAGGATGAAGTTCAGGATTGCTATGATGTTTCTTGTGCTTCTTGTTGCTGTGTTGATGATGTAGAAAGCAAAGGTGGTGGGAGAGAGATTCTTGGGGCTAAGGGGTTGGGGGGTAGTTTATGGTTTTTGGTGGTATAAATGCTCTCTCTTTTTGTAAACTTGGGGTTGGGGATATGAAGATCTTCTGTGGTTTTAGTGGTTTGTGGTGGGTAGGATATAGGTTACTATTTGTATGGATGTAAATGCCCTTGTCTGGTAAATGCCCTGTAATTTAAGCTACTTTTGTATGCCCCATGTACTTTTGTATCTAATGGAAACAAGCATCTTTCTGTTACTATACTTCTGTTCCACTGAATTGTCTTGTTAAGTGTAATTGAATACTGATATATGGCATTGGTTATTGTAGACCAAAACAATTGAATATAATTCATATCACATGGGTACAACAGACAAGTGAACATGAATTGTGGACCAATACAAGTAAAAGGCATTGGGTATTGTATTCAAATGAGGACCACACATATAAAAGGGAACATCACACGGGATCTAAATCCGAATTGAAAATGATTGAGTTTTGGGAGGAGTGTACATTTGTGGACCAACATAAGAATTGAATACTGATAAAATAGTAACATCACATGTGATATTAGAACAATAAGTCATAAAGAAAAATTACATAGGGTTCAAAACACACAAATATTGCATCCATGTGAAGTTAACAAAATGTTCAAAAGACACAAATGTTCCCCATGCAACAACAACATAAACTAGTACATAACATAAAGGTTCAAAACACGACACATGTCTAAAGAGACAAATCCTAATCTATATCCACTGCGTTTGTTGTTTAGTTGCCTTCACCATTTTTCCCATACACTACTTTTGCAAGTTTGTTTTTCAAAATTCTCTCAGAAGGCTTTCTTGTTCTAATAGCAACCCCCACACCCTTTGCTTTAACCTATAAATAAGAAAATCACCATATTACTCTTCTATTCAAAATAATTAAAACAATATTAGGGGTGTACTTGGAAAGTTTCAAAATACCTTTTTCTTTCGAACACCATGCACTCCACCACCTTCACCACCATGCACACCTCCTGCACCACCATTCACTGATCCATGCACACCTCCTGCACCACTATTCACTAGGGGTGAGCAAAAACCGCACCGCAACTAAAATTAACCGCAAAAACCGCATAAACCGCATAAACCGCAACCGAAATAAAAACCGATGGTGAGGTTCTCTGTTTTTCAAAAACCGCAATTTGCGGTGCAGTGCTGTTATTAGTTTTCAAAAACTGCAAAAAAACCGCAACGCACCGCATATATTTTATAAATTTTTTTATTAATTATTAATATATTAAATATTAAAAATAAGACAAGTTTCATAGATGAAAGAAAGATAAAATTCTAGAAGACAAAAGTGTTGGTTTTTTCGTATGTTTAACTTTGGAAAATGGTGAAATTTGACAATTTTAAGATATTTATTGTTAATTAGTAGTGATTTAAAGTTTTTAAGATATTAGTTGTTTGTAATTTAAGTTAATTGTTTTATACCTTATGATTTTTTATTATTACAAGTAATATGTTTAAACTTTTAAAACTGTTTGAACTCTAAAGTGCGGTTAAAAACCACACAAAATAACCGCACAAAATCCATGTGGTTAATAACCAAAACACACAAAAACAAAACCGCACTGCAAAAATAACCGCCTAACAGCACCGCAAAAATAACCGCACCAAGCGGTTTTGAAAATGGATTAACCACATTTGTGGTTAGTGGTGAGGTATTGGCCAATAACCGCACCGCGCTCACCCCTACTATTCACTGAGCCTTACACACCTCCTGCACCACCATTCACTGACCCTTCACCTACAGATTCATGTAGAAGATAACATGTCAATAATTAAGATTTACAAATTTGCTTTGCTCAAATGACAACATCATTTCAATATACATGTGCAGTCTTGGTTATCTTTGCTCTTTTCACTCTGAGCTTAACTGACTTATTTGTTGTGGGGCAAGCCACTTTGTTGTGGCCAGGCATATGACAAGCACTACACACACTGGGTTTACCCTATTTTGATACCTTATGCTTACCCATTTTCTCTATTACATCTCTCTTCCTTTTTGATGCGGGTCTTCCAGACATCCTTCTTCTTTGGGGAGGCAAGGGCGGCGTGAATGATGTCTCTGGGCACAGGTTACTACCATTCATAGGCAATATATTATTCAAGTATGTTTTATTGTAGTTTGATCTACAGAAAATAAGATCCACATAGGTGTCCACATCCGTATTCAGAAATAAGATTGTAGCAACTGAATGGGCACACCCATATCCATTTAGTTGCCATAACCTACAATAACATGTCTTGTTGTTAAGATCCACATCATAAGTTTGACATTCATTTCTTGTCTCAAACTTGTTTAGTCCACTTGGGAGCACTTTCCAGTACCTAGCTTCAATCTTTAAACCATTCAGTAAGTGGCTTATTGTAGGACTTACATCCTTTGTCCATTTCTTGTGTTTCAAGTTAAACATCCTCTCCATGATATATAACCTCAGCTCCTCCAACATAGTGATTATTGGTTTCCTTCTGGTATCCACAAATATTGCATTAACGCTCTAAGAAAGACCATTCTCCACTGCAACACATGCCCTCCATACCTCATAAAATGATCTTGACCAGGTCTTTGGTTCCTTTTCCATCAAGTAGTTATGAGCTTCCAGACTTAATCTTTCAATTTCTTTCATGATTACATTGAAAGATTGTGGTGTTGTTGCATTACAAGCCTTCCAAAAAAAGGTTCTCAAAAATAGCCCCTACAAACCTCTTCTTAAAACTTGCAACAATGTGCCTTGCACATTGTCGATGCTCAACACAAGGAAGCACCTACTTAACTGCCTCCATAAGACCCTTGTGTTGGTAAGACATTAAGGTGAACCCAGTGCCCATACCTAGTTCAAGATCATCTCTCAGCAACTCCAAAAACCACATCCAGTTTTCCTTATTCTCAACACACACTATTGCCCATGCAACTAGAAATATGTGGTTGTTAGCATCTCTACCCACAACACACAATAACTCCCCATTGCATACACCCTTAAGGAAACATCCATCTATCCCTAACACCTTTCTACAACCTTCTAACCAACCAACTTTCACATTAGCAAAACATACATAGAGCTTACTGAAGTAATTCAAACCATCAGGCATGCATTGGACATCCATTTTGACTGTTGAACCTGGATTAATTCTTCTAATTTCCTCCCCATAAGACCATAATTTTGCATAATGCTCAGTAAGGGTCCCATCAATAAGATTTATGGCATGTGCCTTTGCTCTTCTGCATTGACTTAAACTAACCTGTATTCCAAACTTCCTGATGACCTCCAATCTCAAATGTCTAATTGTTAACTTTTGTCTGTGCAAAATTTCCTTAGTATAATGTTCTCCTATCCAAGAGTGTGTGACAATTGATCATAGTTTGTAGTTTCTAGCACAATTATGCACAATCTTCAATGACTTGATTTGAAATGACACCTCCTGCGTCATCCATGTAGCCCATAACCTGAATGGGCAAGCTCCTTTGCAACACACCACCAACAACCTTTTACTGTCATTCGTCTTGAAGCATAGTTGGTATCCATTTTCCACAGCATAGTTACATAATATATTTTTCAACTGCTTTGGACTTTCAAATTTCATCCCAAGAATAGGTACTTGCCTATTCCATTGCAAATCAGGGTTGAAAATGGAATGGATCTCAACATCTTCTTCTTCAACTTCGTTGTGACCAGTATCACCTTCTGGAGGACATAAAATACTAAGAAACTCATCCCCACTCGTCTTGTTCAAAGGTATTTTGTCAATGTCAATTACTTCATCTTCAAGACCAACATTGGGATAGGTTTCATCAGGGGCAGTGTTTCCTTCAGTTCTAGGTACACCATCATCTTCAAGGCCACTTTCATTATCTTCACTAACAACCAGATTCATGTCATCATCCCACCATTCGTCCAACCCATTCCCATTATGATCAACATAAACTGAAATTTCCCCGTATTCATACCCGGTATCTATAAACGGGGCAAAATCCAAATCATCTACAATGTGACGAATCCCTCTAGATAAAGGGATGTTAGGTAAGCAGTAGTAGAGGTTTTGAAACTCTTCCCCAATAGCTCTATCAAGAAAAGGAAAAAAGTCCCTTACATCCATACTTGCCCAATCAACATCAGTGAAGAGGAAGTAATTCCCACCAACATATCCAGAAGGATGTCGAACAAATATACCATTGTAGTGTAGATGAACTCTCAGATATACATCTTCATCATCGTTCTCAGCCATGCAACAGTGAAAAAGTCTTCAAAGAGTAGAATATCTTCGTCAGCAGTGTAATCTCAATAGTGGCTAAGATGGTTAAAAACCCTAGTTCAAATCTTCATTCCTCTTCTTATAAGACGTACGACTAAGGAAAATGAGTTAAATTTTTTTACCCGTTTTTACACTCTGGAATAACACACTTGGCACAATTAATAATTAACCACCTAAGTGCACTGCCACGTCACCTATTTTACCGGCTAAATAAATTTGGAAATGAATAAGGGTATGAGAGACATGTAATTTTCGAGTTTGAGGGTCCATAAAGACAAAAAAAACAATATTGGTCTTTTAAAACCTAATGTAAAAGTTTGTTAGGTCTCCGAGATAAAAACCCTATATCTTATGTGTTATTGTTTTATGACACATGATACTTTTCTATGATTTCTACAACTTTCTTTTCTTTTATTTAAAAAAAATCAACTTCAAGTCAAATTTTGAAAATAAAATATCCTACACTAACAACATATATTTCATGTATAAATCTACATTTTTATTATTAATTAATATCATATTAAATTTAAATCTTTATATAAAACTGATTATATATGTTGACTTTCTTTTATATTTTGAACTTTAATATATTGTATTTCTTATAAAATTCATAACAACAAAACCAACCGTTTATTCGTATATTCATGTTAGTAAAACTTTATATTATTTTCGTATTTTTCAATCCATAGTTGTTTACTTTTTTATTATTTATTAATTAATTTGGACTTATAACACTAAATTTTCTATCATGTTTTATTTATAAACTATAGATTATTATATTTTAAAGAGTTAAAGAGCATGTATCACACTACCATTAGAGGTGTCTAAATGAAGTGTTTCAAAATTTATATAAAGTATTATGGTTTTTTTACTTATGATGTTAATTTTGTATTACTTATAATCCACACACTTAAATGATCCAACTTTTATCCATTTATCAAACTGACTGTTGTTGGGTTTTAGTCAAAAATCGGTTTCCAAAAACACGAAAAATGGCAATGAAAGTCTAAAATTAGGAATAAACTTAAAATATTTTTTAACCCACCAAGGATAATTTTGCAATCAAAGAAATATTAAATCAACCATAGAAAAGAAAAGATTACAACCTGTGAAGTCTTTGATTCTCAAGGGAGATGGAAGTTGATGAAGTGATGCATGAAGCTTCAAAGAAGAAGCTCTCTACAAGTATCCACCAAGTAAGGAAATCTAACCACTGGATGCTAGTCTTCACTTGTATATTAGTTGTTCGTAAGCCTTAAAACTATATATCAAATATACCTTCAAAGGAGAAGAAACTAAGAGACTTAAATCTACACACCATTTGCAAGACAAAAAAAAGAAGGGAGAGAGTTATATGCTTTCGACATTTAGAGAGAAAATAGAGGAATAATGCTTGGAAAAAACTAGCGATTTGCAAGTCCGTACTCTCTCTTGTATACTAAGACACATAAGGATAGGACCATACCTTTATTAAGTGTGCAATAATGGTTATGTAAGAAGGTATTAGTTATCTAAGCAAGTCAAACAAGCAACCCATCACTTTTATTTTTAAATTGGCCAGCATGAAGAAAAAGAGGACCAAGAGCGTGTTACACATAACCATTTGATCTAACTAGTATATTTTATAAACTTATGAAGTTCTATAAGTCCAAAACATTTATACACACAACATATATATTTGTACCATATAAATATATAATTAGTTTGTTCACTATTATTATTATTTCCAGGAAATCGTAATTTTCAATATGTTGGTAAAATATTATTTTCATAAAATAATGGTTTTCCAATTAAATACAATTGTTGATATTTATTAATAATCAAAATTACTCTAATAAATAATCAGTTAGTAGTAACTTGCTAAGGTGTGACCCTATAAGATCATATGTCATTAGCAAATGTCATTCTATAATGACTCTTGGGCATAAAGATCTTTCAATCTCCCACTTGCACAAGACTCGTCATAGATTGATGTTGACAGTGGTGAACATCTTGCAACATTTCACTGCCCTTAATAACACACGACGAAGAATGACATGCATCAACATCCAATTCCCAAAAGATCAAATCTACAATTGATGTATAAGGTAAGTTTATCAGTTATCCCTTTATTATAGACATGTTTTTGAACATGAGACTTGGATCGCAATTAATCTCATTTGGTGTTCAACTGTGGGTTAGGTGCATTAGATGTCCAGTTCTCAATACATAAGAAGATAAATCTCATCTTGACTACATAAGCCTTTTGCATAATTCACACCACACACCTAATAATGGCTTTTATAACTACCCGATTAAGGATTAGAGTTTGACCACATCAAATCATATCACTCCCTACACTTAAGTCCCACTATGTATCTCAGGTATTATGTAACACTTGAATCTTGGTAAGTTTATCTTTTGCCCTTGTATTATTTAAATTGTCCTTTTTAGTCATTGAGTTGTACACGGGGCGTACCACAAGGTACACTTAGTATACAAGCTATAAAGCAAGTATGCGGGGTGTACCATGTAGTACGCTTAGCGTACTCATGCGAAGGCCTGATCGGGGATCCAGAGGTGTACGCTGGGCGTACAGAAGTGTACGCGAGGCGTATGCAATGACTTTTGAAAACCCTAATTTCCGAGGTTGGACACTATATAATCATCCTTATGGACATGAAACCCTCATTTACTCAGCCTCCTTGTCCTCCTAGCCCTATACTCAAAACCCTAACTCTATAGTTGAGTGTTCTTGAGCTTAGAAGGTATTTTGGGTGTATTTTTGGTGTTTTGAAGGAAGAAGATCATCTTGAAGTTTCACTGGAAGAGTGGGAACTTGTAGATCCGATATATCATCATCATTTGGCACTCATTAGAGGTATAAAGCTCTTATCTTGATGTGTCATAGATCTAGTTGTAGCTTGTTTTTGGTTAATTTTGGTCCCATGAGTGAGTTTTGGTGGTTTGATGCAATTCCAGAAGTTATGAGTTGCCCCTCTTGACATTTTTGAGATTTCTAAGTCTTAAAGTTGCCATTTTTGAGATTTCGAAATCCATCCATGCATGAGTTATGCCATTTTTGTGAAAGTATGATGCTCTATCTTGAAGTTGGGACCTTTTGGGGCGTGCAAAGTCACCAAGTCTGTGACTTTATAGTTCCAGACATCCTCTAGGGCTTAGATCTGAATTTTGGGTTGTTAGTCTTAGGCATTAAGAGCTTAAGGCAGTTTTGGCTTAATAGCTTCGTACGATGGGCGTATAAGTTTGTACGCACGATGTACAACCCAGGTTGCGTGTACGCTTAGCGTATAGCTGAGTACGCCCCGCATACTCAGCCTGTTGGGCTTCGTGTCTTTTGGGCCTCGGTTGGGGTTACTTCTTTGGTCCTTGTTGCTTTGGGCCTTAATGGGCCATCTAGAATTAAGCTTTTTTCCTAAGGAAAATTTATTGGGCCTTAGGGTAGGATCCATATAAGGTTTGGGCCCAATTTGGAAAATTGGGACATACGTGGGCCTTGGAGAAACAATTGGTTTTGGGTCTTTTGGTTTGTGGATTTAGGCCTTGGTCTTGGATTAAATTAGGTCAGGGGTAAAATGGTCATTTTACCTTAAGTATGGATTATTGGATATAGAATGGAGCCCAAGTGTTAATTGGGTGTTATTTTGTACTGATAGCTCGGGGAGTCGTCAGGCCAGCAGCTAGGGATTTATTTTAGTGAGATTCAACATTCGAGGTGAGTTTCCTCATTGGGTTTGTTGGGTCTAAGGCACCAATGTCGACCCTTATTGATTATGCTAGGATGCTAGGAGTCTTTGTGACCCTTGCATGTGCTGTTTGCTACTATGTATATCAGGCAGGGCTCGATGTCGGGCGAGGCCCGATGACTGGAACATATGCTAGTCTTTATGATCATTATATGTGTTACCATGACTATGTGATATATATTATATGTGAGTAGAGGGTGAGGCTCAGTGACAGGAAAGGCCTGAGAATAACATATCTATAAACCGAGCAGGGCTCAATGCTGGGTGAGGCCTGAGGTCGGGCGGGGGCCCAATATGTGATTTATTATGTATGGTATGGGGTAGTTTGGGGAACTCACTAAGCTTTGTGCTTACGGTTTTCAGTTTATGTTTCAAGTACTTCCAGTTCCAAGGGGAAGAGCTCGGGATGACTGCATCGCACACACCACATGGATTCCGCACTTGATATTTCACTCTGATTTTATGATATTTGATACTCTTGTTTTATTTGGGATGTATGGATGATGTTGGAATACTGTTTTACTTAAATTAAAAATGAAATTTTTGGATCATTTTTCTGGGATGTTACATATTAAGGATACAAAAATAGTATATTTTATCAAGTATCACTCACAACAACGATTTATGAGGTGATCTTGATGTGGGTCTGTCTAATACCAGTTCTATGACAACTACTTATGAATCTTGGTTACAACCCATTACATACTTTCATCTAATGAGAGTCAAGTAACCCAATTCATATTAGTCTTACTTCATACATGTTCCCATAATTATAACCAACTATGAACTTTGTAATGTCGAATCTTATAATCTGATAAGTCATGTACTAATACACGCTGACCATCAGCTCCAGCGCTAGCGCCAGTGTCAACGTGTAATCACTTGTACTAGTGTATTTATTTTGTATTTTGTAATTATAGTAATAATAGCTATCGGTTAACTGATCCTTAATCTTAGTGGTTAGGATCAGTCTGTTTACTTAGATTAGATTCAATCCCCTTAATGTCAGGATTGATAGTTAGTAGTTTTACTCTATATTTGTGTACCTGGGTAGTTCTCATTGCAACCTTAATCGTCGCTTTGTGTTGATTCTCTTTGTGAGAATCATTTCTTAGTGAAAACATCTTTGTGATAACTTTATTATTTGTTCTTTCTTGTTTGTATTTGATCTACGAACCTTCAAGTGGTATCAAAGTAGTTTTTTGATACATTCAAGATATCATGTCT